AAAAAAAAAAAAAAAAAAAAGGTTACCCTAGTTTCTCTGAAATCACCTGAAGGGTAGAAAACAATTTTTAAAATCCATTTAAAAACAACACTGATTCAAGTGAATTTTCCAGCTACAGAAGAAAAAGACTGGGACATTTATTTAGTTTTTGCCCAGGAATTTAATTTATAAGGATTTACATAATGGATATTGTAAAAATCTGAAATATCAAATAAAGTCAAATAAAGTATCTTCTTTTTCCCTTATTCATTCTTATTCCCATATGCATTCATAAAATACTACCAATCAAGCAGCTAGAGGTAAGGAAATATATTCATTTTACATTAATGTCATGGATAATATCAGAGATACCGTGACTTCACATAACTTATATTATTTGATATTTACAAAGAATAATTAAGTGTTTAATCTAGGTCAACTATTTTGCTAAATGCTTAATATATATGCATTGTCTCACTGGAAGAAGAGATAAATCTATTTAACATCACTACCAGGATTTACAAAATTCTTAACAGAGGTTTGGTTGTAGCCAATCTTCCTGGCAAACTTGCAAAGAATTTAAATGCCAGTAAAATACAGTAATCAGCATATGAACACAACAAGCCATACACCAGCATGGCACTGATGAAGAGAAGCTGTATCAAAGTCTTGGAGGCTACTAGGGTAACAGTGATGGCTAAATCACCACAAGTGACTAATTAGAGGAGTTCCTGCATTACTCCTAAATGCTTAACTTCTAAGCAAGAAATTTTGGAAAACAAGTACATTCAGAAACCCCAACATAAAAGAGAAAAGGAAGAAAGGTCTTACTATCTAAAAAGCAACAACAAAACAAATACACACTTATACAAAATAAGCACTGGATTCTCTTGATTAATGCGTTTAAAAATTAAGATGAGCTCCCTTATCTTCAACAGCTTTTTTTATTGACATATACTTCACACAAGGTCCAATTCACCATTTAAAATGTTCACCTGAATGGTTTCCAGAACACCTGTCTTGCTGTACAACCATCACCTCTGTCCACTCCAGAACACTTCCATCACCCCAGAAAGAAATCCCATACCTGTCAGCAGCTAGCCCCAACATCCCCTCACCAATCACATAGCAATCACTAATCTATCTTCTGTCTCTATATATTTGCCTGTTCTGGATATTTCATGTCATTTTTGTGACTGGCTTCTTTCACTTAACATAATGTTTTTAAGATTCATCCATGGTGTAGCATGTAACAGTTCCTTCTCATGGCTGAATAATCCCTTATTTTTTGCAGCAATTAAGTGAAGCATTTCAAATACTGTGTTTAGACATGTCACCTGAAACATTTTCAGCCATTCCTGAAGGCCTGTAGGTGGTTGGACAGATGTAATTCGACGTCGTTGTTGCCCTTGGCCATTGGCTGCTCGCAGGTCTCCAAAAGTTGTTGGTGTTGCTGAACATGGTACAAGTCCAGTGGTACTACAAAAAAACACAAGAGTGGAAACAAAGGTAGGTATTTGTTAAGAATAATGGGCTCTAATTTAAATAAGCATGTGATGTGGCATATGTCAAACATCAACAGAATTATTATTTTTATTTGCTTATTGCCAGAGAGCAAGGATACACAAAATCTATTCCGCTATTCTTAGGGCAGGTTTCCTCCCTCCTACATAGCCACCTGTTATTATCCCAGCAATGCTAACTGCAACCACATGACAGAATCTCTATGGCAAAACTGCAACTTGTTGATACATACAAATAATGTTAAAATACTTCTTTAGAAGATACAGGTTCTACCTCTGTTATGACTGGTCTTCAGTGACTTAATTAAACAGAAGTTTAAATTTCCTTTATAAAAAGGGTGTGAAACTTATTAATGGTTTAAAAAATTCATATGTAGAAGCAGTATGCTCATATATTTTAGACATTTCACCACACACATTATTCCTTAATTTTCAACTCAGATGCTTTCTAAATTATTTATAATATTTATCTCTCTCTCTCCAACTTTCCACTGTTATTTATAAAGCTTAGTCTAAATAACATTTGACAGGAACAAGCCTTGATTAGACATGTATTTACTCAAAACAGTAAGTATTGAAAACTTACTATATGATATGTAAAATTGAATCAAATGAGATCATCTGAACACTTTCATAGAATAATTTAAACTCTGAGACATTACAGAAAATAAACCTTCAATTCTGCCACTAGTAAAATCAAAGAGTTAAGACTAAATGATGTATCTCTAAAACTGTCCAACTCTCCTAAAAATGACTAATAGCAGAAAAGTATAGTTATAACCAAGTTATTAATATATTAAACTTCCTTCCTAATTTCAATATATAATTAAATTATTTAATCGAGGTAAATACTGAATATCTCTATTTTGGAGACATCTGAATAAAAAGTTCAGGAAGACTCATAGTTACATTTGTAAAATAATCTTCAATTTATTGAGCTATGATAATAAAGTGTTTTATATCTGAAGAACATACAAATTACAGCCTATTAGCTGAATATCTAAGCTCTGATAAATTACTAATGAAACAATACCCTCAATCCTTTTCTATCCAGCATATTTCATTATTTTGTTAAAAAATGTATTTTAGTCACCAGATTTTACAGAGAAATCTTCATATCTACCACCTTTAAACCTTTTAACATTATACATCCAAGATAATCTCTAACATACAACAATTAAATCGATTTTCCCATCTATCAATTTTTTTTTTTTTAATGTTTACTTATTTTTGAGAGAGAGAGACAGAGAGAGACAGAGCGTGAGCAGGGGAGGGGCAGAGAGAGGGAGACACAGAATCCGAAGCAGGCTCCAGGCTCTGAGCCATCAGCACAGAGCCCAATGTGGGGCTCGAATTCACAAACAGCAAGATCATGACGTGAGCTGAAGTCGGACACTTAACCGACTGCGCCACCCAGGCGCCCCATGCTGGCTATCAAATTTCAGAGGTAAGCTCTGTCTTCCTCTCCAAAATGAAACAGAATGTGATCATAAATTTTCTAATAAGGAAGACAGAAAATCATAGTTTCATTATTATTATTAGAAAATCTGTCAAAAAAATTAAAAAGCATCAAATATATACTGATAAAGTCTCCGAAAAGACATGGAAATCAATATGCAGTTTGGTTTGCTTTGGTAAGTTATATGTTAAAAGGCTGAAAACAGAACTTGCACATTTTCAGGTATTTTCTCACAACAAAAAGTGAGCAACTAAAGACAAATTTTCTTAAAATGTGTTCTGTAGTAAAAATTCAGCATTTGTTTACAAGCTGCCTTAAACACAACTGAACAATTTAATACCTTTGTCCTGGTATCAGCCATATTAATAGAAGACGAAAATGATATGGTTCACTGCAATCTATACATTAAAAGTAGTACATTTTTAACATTAAACTCAACGTTCTCATCCGAGAAATACTTTCTCAAGACTAGAAGGAAAAAGCAAAAATGAAGTGAAGAGTTTCATGTGTCTATCACCCCACACCCTCTGGTGGAAGTGCCAAACACAGTGAAATTGTCAAAAGGCAAAGGGTAACTAAGAGGGGAACAATTAACATGGGAAATCATACTGAAAGCATTTCTTAAATAACTAAGAGATAGTTTTATTTCTCTCCTCTGCATCATCTCCGCATTTTTTGCATAGAGAACTATTTAATTTTATGATTTCTAAATTTCATAGAAGAGCATTTTAAAAAAGTATTTTCCACAACTGGATGAAGTAAAAATATAAACTCTTTCTTAAAAGAGAGAGAGAGAGAGAGAGAGAGAGATGCAATCTCTAGCAATTCTCCATCACAGAAACTTAAGTCTGAGCAATGTTAAATTTATTGCATCTTATATAATAAACATAACTCTAAATCAAAATATTTAAGGAAAAAAGAAGAAATGTTACCATCATGAAGTTCTTAGGGCTTCTATAGCTAACTTTTAATCAGTGATTTGAAGAAGTGACAATTATGCAGAAAAGACCAAAAAAACTCTGAAGATACTTTTGTCATTTAAATTTTAAAATACCACATTCCAAATAACATCTAAAGCCATTTTTAATTGGCTGGGTAATAGATATTGTGCTTAAGTTAGCCTAATTAGCGTGAGAGTGGGAAAAGTTTTATACTGATGCAAAATCCAAAAAATGATGGAATGGTGCACAAAACAAGACTACAATTGTATTTAGTTGTTATGGAAACCTAATTTACTGGTGTGGATATGGATGTGTTAAAAACATAAGATATACCAAGAAAATAAAAGGGGATTCCTAACACAGGAAGATTTAGTTAGTAACTGTGAGTTTTATTTCACTGCTAATAAATGTATCTTCAATTTTGCATATATAAATATCTACCCTAGAGCAGCTGTTGCTATAGTAACAAGATATATTTGCTCATATTCATATTTTAGAACTTACTTTTTAGAATTCCTTAAAAACTGTGATTTAAAAATTCTGCTTATAAGAGAACTTGTGCTTGTGTCTTATTTCAAAGTATTAGTAAGAAAATATAAGCTACAGCAGTAGTCATTCTTCTTATTTGGGACTATGTATTTCTCAATGTTCAGTGATCTCAAAATGTGTTACAGAGTCAACAGTACCAGTAACATTATAATTCTACGAGAATAAACTGGAAGAAATGTTTTTGGAATCATCAACTCTTTAAAGAAACATAAGAATCATGAGAGAATCAATTATGGTTAATATTACCTTGTATATTCTGAGACTTTGCATGGTTTCTTTCCCAAAGAAAAAGAGCGGACCTCAGAACCATGGTCCAATTTTCTTTTCATCTATAAGGTAAAGCAAATAAGATAGGTTTTAAAAAAAAAATCACCTGTCCAACTGTCTTAACATTAGCATTGGTACTATTGAAAAAAATTTCTTAAATTTTTATAAGCCTAAATTTTCATTAATTAGGCATAGTTAATGTATGTAGAAAATAAATGTTCTATGATTTCTTCTACTAGTTCTACTTTGTTTTACTCTTTGAAGACGAGAAAGGTGATTACCCACCCCCCCAATATTTTGTTCAGAAGAATAGCATATGGTGATTTAAAAACTGATATTCATCATACATATTCCTTGAGAGTCATATATCTTTCACGTTTCCCAGTTTAAGAACACAGGGGGAAATGTCATGTTAACACACACATTGAAGAACCATATTTAACGTATCTCTCTTAGTGATCATCACTTTCCTTTAAAAACGTATTTCAAGATAAAATATACAAAAAAACTCAAAATTTCAAAACCTGAATGGAAGTAACAGTAACTGAATTTAAAACACATATTTATTATGAAAGTGTGAAGAGAACAATGTAAATAAGATGATCTTGAAAAGTAATTATAATAAGGCATAAAGCAACGAATATGGGCAATGAGGAGAGTAAAAAAGTAAATCTGTAACAGGAGAGAGGCCTGGGGATGGTATAATAAAGGTGGAAAAAAGCCATCAATTGATATTTACACAGAATATAACTTCACTGACAGATGCTCACTCAGGACAAAATATTCTAACTTGAAAATTTCAGCAACATCAACAAAAACATTTAAAAAGAACGAATTGTACATCTTTGTAAGGTATATCCAACATCTATACTTTTAAAGTATTTCTTTATGCTATATACGTATAATACCGTAAATACATTCAGAATTGTATGTCAACATCAATATTGAAATATTTATTTTTTTTATATTTCACCATCTGTTAACTGAGGTCATCTGACTATAGATATGTCATAAAACTAGAAAATAAGATCTAATAAGATGCAACTTTTTCTATTTTGATTTGTGTCTGCTAATTAATTACTGTACTATGGAAAATTATGTGGGGGAGGTAACCCCAGAGTGATAGAGAGCTATCCTCATTTTTAGAATAAGGTAAAAACCCTTGCTTTGCAGCAGACTTAGTTTCTTACCTACTGCCTCACATGGGAACATCATAAAACAGCATGCTGCATTATAAATACTAAAGAGAACCATCAAGACTCTAACAAATTTTGAACCACACTATGGATAATAAAGACATTTTTATCATCATGAAAAAGTCTTCCAAAATACAGTGATGATCTTATGACATCAGGAGCTAGAGTGAGGGTACAGCAAGCTTGTCCACAATTTATGCCTTAGTTCAAGAAATACCTACTGGAAAGAAATGGAATTGGTCTTAATTCAACCCTTCAGAAGTTTCTGTACTCATTATGTTGTTTTAAAGTGATTCCTCTCAAAAACCATTATTTTCTTTCTCCAAATAATTTTAATAAAAGCCAAAAATAAATATATAGGATTTAATATATAGATAGCCACGTGCTTGCATATATATAAATCATAGACACACACGTACACATACACGCAAATGTAGCTCTCAGGAAGGTCAGTCGGTACAGATTACCTTAAAAATCTAGCTTTTTTAATAACTTGCACAGATTCTTATTTTCAAAATTAATATGAGAAACTTTGATATTCATTCTAATTAAGTTGTAATACTGGCTTTCAGAACTTCCCTGGGTATCTTGCAAATACACATTGGTGCAAATGCCATTTGCCACCAAAAGCAAACTTTATTTCCATCTTAGAAATCCTTCAATGGATAAAAATGCCCCAAATACATATCAAGGGAACCATTTGGAAAGGATTTTTATTTTCAGAATATTTTACAAAATAAAGGACTTTCTACAAGACTATAGAAGTCTTTTAAATATTATACTGTTTACTGAAAATCCTGACTTTAGAACCAAACGTTAATTCTGCAATTTTTTAAGGGGCACAGAAAGTAAATACGATCTTTTAAAATAGAAGTCCTAAATATTCTAGTGATTCTAGGCTTTAAAAGAGTCAACTAAAGAAAAAGAAAAGAAATATGTATAATATACAGAAAAATTAAAGGCAAAAGACTCACTAAAAGCCAACTAAGGGTAGAGTATTTCCAGGTCAGCATTTAACGGAGCCACATTTCTAAAGTCTAAATATATTTTAGTGGAAAATTCCCGGATTAAAATACACATTTTATTTTAAATTTAAAGCTGTTTACAGCTTACGTTGTCTTTGCATTATTTGCTTACATTCACGATATAAAACCGATACCAGCCATCCAGCCACCCACCAAAATTAGAGGATACTGCAGCCATCTCTGATGATACAGATTTTCCTTCTCAGGCAGGCACACACACACACAATCATACAACACAGGAAGAAAACAGATTACTTACTTTGTAAAAAATCATTTTGAGTGTGCCGTAGAAACCCATATTTTCTGTATTTTTCCCCTTCAGTGATTCTGTGCCCCCGTGTGTCCGGCTGCTTGGCAGTCTCTGACAATATAAACCTTTTTCAGGTAGGTATGTCACAGATTCTAATGTGGACATGCTCAGGCACGTCAGAAAGGGAAGATTAGGGAGCAGAACCGGCAACAAAACTCCACAGTAAAGGCAAATGCAGCTCAGTATCAAACCGCTTCTCGGGACACACATACATACATGCAGCTTGACTGAGGAGAACTCGAGGGAATAATGAGAGAGAACCGAGAAGATTATTGGAGGAGACTATGCCCTGTCAAAGCCTTGACTGAACAGATTCCTCCCTCAGCAGCAGAGGGATCAGATTACATCTTCCCTTGAACACAGAATGGTGCAGTCCAGGATTCAGCAATGCAGACTGCACATCAATTATATGGTGATCCGCTCCAGGGAACCCGTAAGCACACAACGCACTGAACAGAGGAGGATGTGGGCAGCAAATGAGCCCGCCCCCACACGACAGCCCCCTTCCCCTTTCAAACTTTCAGGAGATTATTTTGTATTTTGAAAAACCTGCATTTCTGAAGAGTTTTAAATGGCAAGCATCCTTTCCACAAATAAGTGCTTTCAGAAACATTTTGAAAATGGAATATATTTTCCATACAGTCCTCCCAACAGAGGCAGGGCAGACTATTTCCACTAACTGTTATCCTATTGCAGTCCTGGCACAGACTGATCACATTTTTCAAGTAGCTTAGAAGATACAAAATGAGCAATCCCAAAGGGAGAAATTAAGTATTCTTTGTTGGGGGGTGGGGAGGATTTAAAATAAAGTAAGCCAGTTTGGAGCTTGGAGCATTTGCAGAAATTATGTAATAAGTTCTATCTTAACCTGCATACTTCTTATATTGGCATTTAATGAAAATGTTCCCTATGTTTTTCCATTCCCTTCATTTCAAATATAGTTTTCAAGAAAATTGCCACACTTCATCAATTCTTGGTAATCATGACAATATCTTAAGACTATCAGACTAGTATTAAGTGTGTAAAGTTTGGCCAAAATGTTCTATTTCTTCAAAGAAAGCAAAAACTGGGCTTATTGGGAGTCCTACCCTTATTTGTTCATTTAATCTTGAGTAAACAGGATGTACTGCACTTCTACCTCCAGAATTACTTTGACAACGTGTATTGCTTACCATTAAAAAGGCATTTTACATAATAATAAATACCAAAGTTTGCCTGAAGGCAACCTTTTTCTCAAAATGACTACTTCACAAATCTAGATATTTTATCTTGCAACTTGCTACACAACTAGCTTCGGGAGGGAGGCAATTGTAAGATTCCTTGGCCCATTATTAAGGGTCTAGTTAATTAACTCCTACCCTCCCCATTAACATTCTTTATTATAAGTAAACTGCGTGCCTATAGTTATTTAAGTACCTAAAATGTTTCTTCAGAAAAAAAGAAATAGTATTTGGACTTAGTACATTTTAATACTCTCTGCTATAGTTAACAAATGACTTTCATTAGGAAAATGATTCTAAATGCTGCATAAAGTAGTCTCATAATTAAAAAAATAAATGTTTACCTTTATAACAGACATTAAGTTAGTGTAGTATCTTTTACTTAAAAAAAAAGAAATGAAATAAGATAATCCAAAATTTTATGAAGATGTACATCTTGGATTCTTCTGGAAAGTATATTCTATATATTATATTATCTTTTTAAAAAAATCTGACTCTTAAATTCTTGCCCTCAGATACAATATGTATAAGTACCCAGCAAAAAGTTAATTTTCTAAATAAACAATCAGCTTACTTCAAAGTAAAGTTCTTTCTGAAAAGAAGTCTCTGGGGGGGGGGGAGGAAATCCAATGGTTAGGAAGAGACCCATAAAACCCTTTTGTTAGAAGATTCAGAGCACTCAAGATTTTAAAAAATACAAAGTCAAAAAAAGTGATTTCCCCTCCACCATCAGCCTCCGCTCCGGGCTATCTGAAGAAACTAGCTAATTATAAAATGAACACCTGACATTTTCTCTAAAATTTGTCAGTGGTAACCAGCTTATTAGAGGACAAATGAACTTCCCACCAATCATGTAACAGTATATACCTTGATTACAATTGAAATCATGTCCTGTCTTTAGATGAAGTAACTTTTTCAAATTAAGTCTACTCAGTTGAGGACATAGATCAACTTTAATAAAGCAGGGATACTGCCTGAAAACCTAGGACATTTAAAGAAGAAAATAATGTAATTTTCTATATTCAAAGGAATGGCTCCTTTGTATGGTATGAAGTTAAAGGGACACCTGACCTTTGCAAACATATATTTACATGTAGGTATGTATATTCATGTTTTATTTTTGAATAGGTAAAATATTTACACGATTCAAAAATCAAAATGATAATCAAAAGTATACACTGAAAAGACTTTCTACCACCCCACACTCCCCACATTCCATGGGTCCCATTTGATAATTATTTTTATTAATTTATCCTGTAAGTGAGAATGTAATAAACATTACATAAGTTAAGTACTCATGAAGATTTTATT